CAAAATCTGTTTCTGTGATAGTCCTTGAGAGCAGCAGTGTTTGCAGTTCCTATTTTGGCATTTTGTGTGTTGAATTTAATGTTTAGAAACTCCGGTTTCAGGAAATGAGCTGCTGCTGAAGGTACTCAGAGAAATGTGCTTCCAGTGTCCTTCCTCATATGCGGAGATAGCACCAGTGCATAGGTTTGTTGACGGGATGCCATACTTTGGCAGTGGCTGGTTTTGCATCTACCTCCAGATATTTCATGCTGGACTTAGATGCATCTTTTAAGTACAGAGTTCCTTTGATCCATAGGAAGGAGAGCTTACAAAGTTGCTGCATTTCATGCCACCTGAAAAGAAAGCAGTTAGTGTTTTTTTCAGTGAGAAATTTGGAATCTCAAAGTGGTTGATTTAAAAAAAAAAAAATTTCCCCAGACCCTTAAGGTATCTGTCCTTGAGTGTCCCAGCTTTGAGGCAGCCTGAGTGGCTTGTCTGTCAGATCTTGGCCACCGTATCACTATGGAGTAGGAAACCCAAGAGGAATGAGCTAAAGCAGTTATATACTTCATAAAGTAAGTGCCTGCAAATCAGGTAGAGTGCTGATTTATAGTTACCTGCCTTCTGAAGAATTCACCTCTGTGTGACACTTACGAGACTTGGGCTCTGGATGAGTCCAGTTTGGGCTCTTCAGGACACAGCAGAGACAGACAGGAGCAAGTTCAGCAGAGACCACCAAAGTAATGAGGAGCTGGAGGTCAGGATGAATAAGGAGGGGCAGGAAGAGTAGGTTGATGCAGCATGGAGAAGGGAAGGCAAAGGGGCAGGCTTACTGGCAACTGCCTGATGGGAAGGCATAGATGACCAGGCTCTTCTGGGAGCTGTGCCCAGGGAAAGGACTAGAGGCAGTGACCTAAGCTGGATCAAGGGAAATTCCCCATAAATACTAGGAAAAAGGTTTCCCCCAACCCTGGAACAGGTCCCAGAGGTGGCAGGAATCTCCAAACCTGGAGACCTTGAGTGCTTGATAGGGGCCAAACCCTGAGTGACTTGCTTGAAGTAGTAGTTCGTATTTGTGAAGCTTGGGCTTAGCCTCTCTGAGATTCCAGGCTATGTTGTTTTATTATTTTAGTGTGGCCTAATGTTAAGATAACGAAGGCCAATAGAGATTTGTAGAGCTGTACTGGAAGGTGGTCACAGTTGTTTTTATCTGGGTCTCTGGATCTTAACATTCTCTGTTAATCTGAGTCAATCCCAAAAGAAAACACTACATTGGAGAACATTTTGATAACAAGGGAATGTCAAGTAGTTAGATATCACTTACAGTTTAAGGAGTAAGTATATTTTGTCCTGAGCTTTGTTGTCTATTGCTGTCTTTGTTAGTCACATCAGGGGGTCACAGAGCTTGTTTTGCACTAGAGTCTGTAGGGAGCCTGGCTGTCATCAAGAGGGTTTCCTTCAGTGAGGTCTGGGTACATGCAGGCAATTCCTTTTCTGTGTCTGGGAAGACGGAGCTAAGAAACACTTGTGGAAGACACCAGGAAGACATGAAAGTGAAAATCTCAAGACAACAAAGAAATGTCTATGAGCAAAAATCTGTATTCCTGGCTTCTGTAGGCTGGGAGGTGGTGTTGAGCTAATATTAAACATTTGAGTGAAAACAAATTTCCTTATGGATAGGATGAAGAGGAGTCTCTGAATGAAGTGGGCTATGATGACATTGGTGGCTGCCGGAAGCAGCTGGCTCAGATCAAAGAGATGGTGGAACTTCCCCTCCGACACCCAGCACTCTTCAAGGCCATAGGGGTGAAGGTAAGTCCCTGTGTACACCAGGTGGATGAGTGGGCTTGCCCTTGAAGATGACTCTTGGTTTCAGAGGTTTGTGAGGCATTGGGGAGGCAGGAATAAGTAGTTTGGGGGGTGGGGGTTTAATGCTGATGTTAGGAAAGTATTTGTCTACATGTTCTGGACACATTAAAGTACTGGCAACTTGTAAAGTGGAGTGATGCTTTGAATCAGTGCTGTCAGTTACTGGCAAAGTTTTCATTTGTGTGTCATGCAAACTAGTAAGGGTGTTGATAGCAATGCTGGGATGGCAGCTGTTGCATAAGTTTCCATCACAATTTTGAATGGCTTTACCAAATGCTTACCGTTTCACTGTGAAACTATTTAGGCGTTCATATACTAGCTCACCACCTGAGTCACTTGCTTTTGTCTTCAGCCTCCACGTGGGATCCTGCTGTATGGTCCTCCTGGCACTGGGAAAACACTGATTGCCCGAGCGGTGGCCAACGAAACGGGTGCTTTTTTCTTCCTGATCAATGGTAAGTTTTGTGGCTGCTTTGGCACCAGAACTGCTGTGTGCTCATTCATCCATTTTATGGTAACAAATGGTGTTAATAGGGCTTGTAGAGCCGCGTTGTCTTGCTTAGATCCTTCCTTACCTCTTTCAGGCATGCCTCTGGGAACATTTAGAGGCCATTCTCCTGGAAGCATCTGTAGTGGTACTTCCCACTTGTAGCAGGGTGGTTGGAAGGCAGCTGTGCAATGCAGAGACTTGGAGTCTGTTTGTCTGGATGTTCATTTATGTTGATGAGGGCAGAGCTGGGAGTAAAGTACTGGGATTATTGTAAGTGCACCGTGCAGGACACTTGTTACTGTTGCTGTCACTGTGTTAAAGAAGCTGGTCTGCTGTAGATTTCTCTTTACCCTCAAGTAGAGCACAAGACCTGTTTTGTTTCATGTAACATTAATTGGGAAGAACTTTCCTGAAAGCTATAATGAATACCTTGGGACTTAGCTACAAGTGACAGAACCTTCTGTTGATAACTCTCACCTGTACCAGTTGAGACAGTTAACTGATTTATGTCCAGGAAGGACCAAATTCTGAATTTTCCTGAATTTTTTTTTTAATGTGTGTGTAGCACAGCATAGCAGTGAGCAGCAGTAAGGAAGTGACTTGCTTTGTATCTCAAGATATCAATTGTAAGTGGGCTGGTTTTAACCATATGTCCTACTTGTCATATGCATCCTAAGTGTGTGGAAGCTGTCACTGAGTGCTAATGAGACAGCCGTTTCTTTAGACACTTCTATTGCATAATCATAGAATCATAGAGTGGTTTGGGTTGGAAAGGACCTTAAAGATTGAGTTCCAACCCCCCTGCCATGGGCAGGGACACCTCCCAGCAGAGCAGGTTGCTCAAAGCCTCATCCAGCCTGGCCTTGAACACCTCCGGGGATGGGGCATCCACAGCTTCTCTGGGCAACCTGTTCCAGTGCCTCACCACTCTCACAGGAAAAATTTTTTTCCTAAAAGCTGAAAAGAGGATGGATTTAGTTTAGCTAATAACCGTTACCCCTTTTCCTGTCATTACACTCCCTGATAAAGAATGTTTCCGCATCTCTTCTGTAGGCCCACTTGAAGTACTAGAAGGCTGCTAATTAGGTCTCCTGAGAGCCTTCTCTTCTCCAGGCTGAACAACCCCAACTCTCTCAGCCTGTCCCTGTACAGGAGGTGCTCCAGCCCTCTGACCGTCTTCATGGTCCTCCTCTGGACTCACTCCAACAGGTCCATGTCCTTCTTATGTGGGGCGTCCCAGAACTGGATACAGTATTCCAGGTGGGGTCTCATGAGAGTGGAGCAGAGGGAGAATCACCTCCCTCGACCTGCTGGTCACATCTTTTTTTGATACAGCCCAGGACCCACTTGGCTTTCTGGGCTGCAAGTGCACATTGCCAGGGCATGTACAGCTTCTAA